ACGCTAGTCATTTAGTTAATGCAGTCTGATCAATGTAGTCTTTTGAGCCTCATTGAAATTCAAACGGAGGTCACATGGAGTGGACTTAGCCTGCAGAGCAGCAATGCCTGAAACCTGCTGCCGCTAACTCATCATATCGCAGAAGGCCAAATGGCCGGCTTGGTGTTATGGCGTGCCTATTGTTATTAAAACTCAAAACATTTTAAAGCTTTAATTTGTTTTCATTACTATGGTTTGCTTATTTTAATTAGTGGCCCTTAATCTGCAATTAGCCTCGAGGTCACCTAAACTCTTGAAAAAAGGAATTGTTTGGAAAAAAGGGGGAATTTGTTTCGACATGTATTTAATTAGATTATTGTTAACCCAGGAAATCTCAGTGACACTCACTCCTATGCTGTCTAATTAGAGCGATAAAAGAGAAACAGTGCCGGCACGACGGACTCATGTTTACAACTTAATTCAGTTTAACCGATCTCTAAAAACGACAGTTTGTCGTTGCTTTGGCAAAATTCTCAACTGGTATTGAACATTTTTTAAACGAAATGTACAAATCTTCAAACCACCGGGCACTTGTTGACAGTGTGAATTTATCATTCTTCTAAAGCAGCTTCTTCCCGAGCGTGGGGTCATTCGTCTGACTCACTATATGCATACATGGTCCTAACGGGCCAGAATCCGGAAAAAGTGCTGACGAAGCCTCCTTCAGAGGAGGAGTCAAGGCTGCTTCCCCAACGACGCCTCTGGTCCGTATGACCAACACACACACACACACACACAGACCTACACACACACAGAGCCGCTTCATTCTCGTGGACATTGGACATTGCTTCTCTTGATCTGTACACAGAGATTGTTGTTTAACTGTAAGCTGTATTTTTACACCTGAATGAGTATGAAGTATTATTGTCTATAAGTTGCAATAACCAACTTACCAAATAATGAATATGGCTGATTATGGTCTCAGTCAAATAGGTTTACTCTTTAAATCATGTGTGAATTATTTAACCGTGTAGTCATCACACAGTCAAAAATAGGCTTTTCCATATACACAGTCTGTCAGGCATATACTAGGAATACGATCACAGTACTATAGATTTATTTTGCAAAAAGCTGCTTGTTACATCGACTGTATGGTAAAACCTGAACTTAATTAAAGGATGGAGAGGGTCTCATATATTACATCAACTAACTTTGCCTTCTGTCAATTTACTTGACAGGTGCTATTTATAAGTATGCATTTTGCCAAACACTAGAAGGTAAACAATGAATAGCGGCATATTCCTCCAGTGAGGATCGAAGGTGCAGAGTGTGAGGACAGCCCGATAGAAGAGAGTCACAGAGCTGTGGGCGATGCGATTAGGCGCCGGCTTACAATGAGTGCAGTCCTAATGTGAACCATGCTGCAGTCTACAGTACTCCCCAACGAAGACCATGCTGGAATAATTCATGTTACACAGCCCAAGGTTAAGCAATACAGTTCAATTTGAGTACAAAACTAATTCAGTAGAATAATGAGTCAATAAAAGTTAGAACAAAAGCCTGAAACTGAGGCGCACAGCAGAAGACAGCATTTTAACACATATAACCTAGACTACCGCGACTGCCTTGGTAGTGGTTAAAGTTTTCTAACCGCAACAAAAGCGAGTGAACTATGAATGCATGCAGCTATGAAGGACGATGGCGTCTTAACAAATATCGACTCTGTCAGCATCTCCATGAGAGATCGTGTTGAAAAGACTCCAGAGGGCCATAAAACAAGTTTGCAAGGTGCTATTTGATAGAAACTGTGATGGGTAAACGCAGTGGGTAAAGCCGGCGTATGCGCTACACCTCGTATACTGTTCTGTAATACTGATTTTCTTTCATTATGACACACTACATATATGTATTTATAGTATAGGCCTGTTCATACCTACTGGGCTGTATCGCTATGGTTCTACCGTAAAAGAAGTGATTTGATAAGTTGTTAAGTGGGGAAATGTGACCTGACACTTTGCAGATCCCTCCAGAGATCTTATCCCTGAGAATGCCTTTGTAGCAACTGTGCGGTATAATGTCAATTTATACCATCCAAATGTCACCAGGATGTCCAACCTGATCTGGTTGCAATTTGCACCATAAAAGCCGGCAGGCTGTTTTGGGTATTCCATCACACAATACTCCATGGAGCGGAAGTATGAGCAAAGGGGTTAAATACTATGCAGAAGTTGCCCTTTGAGAGTGCAGCGACAGTATGTACTTAAAAGTAAAATGTTTGTGATTTGGAAAGCGGCTTAAATGTGATGGATGTGAAGCCAGACAGAAGGCAGTCCTGCCACGACACGTGAGCAAATATGTCTGTATGTGCGCCCCCCCCCCCCCCCCGAATCCATGTGTAACTCGGATTTTTCTGCCAATCGTTTGTGTGTGTGTGGACCTAAAAACTAAACTATATATCTAAAACATCCTTGCAGGTGGCACGTTGGACGACAGACACACAAGTGAGTAACCTTGACACGTCTCCCAGGAGAACGTCCATGAGGTCCCACTGACTGCTCTTGTCAGCAGAGAAAAAAGCAGCTGTACAAACTAGAGCCCCTCCAGAGTAACATCTTTAAATAAACGTTCATTTGTTGCGTCTTGCTGTGTAATTAGTTCTTATTTGAGTTCCGGGTGTCAGCTAACGTCTTTATTTCAATTCAGCGCTTGGCATAGCGAGCCGCCATCACTAGCCCACACGCTCCCGGGGGCTCCGTGAATGCAGCTTGATGTGTGACAGTGAAGCCTGAACGATGCGGCGGTTTTGGCGCGTGGTCCAAATGCTCCTCTCTTCCTCTACTGGAGGAGGATTGCACCGGGGCGGAGAGGAATCAGTGAAGAGTGGCCACCAGCTGGCTTGCGCTCGCCCCGCTGTGGCCATATCGGCCGCTCCAGTGGACGACTGAGATTCGTTTATCCTCCACCATATCTTTGTAAATGAGCACGTGTCACGAGTCTACGTAGGAAGGACGGGGCACCTTTGAGGACAAAGTACAAAACATATGCAGCAAACATTTGGAGAGCTGAAACACGGACTATATCGATGTGCAATGTGCCGCTCTGTTTTGTTTATTCGGTTCTTGCAGTTGCACAGCACATTGAATGCTAAACAGCTACAATACAACACGGAGCCCTTTGTGTGGACGGAAAAGTCAGACTATGACACTACACGTTATCCATAGCTCGAACAGGACGTAGAGCATTATGAAACATTCATGAATTCAGTGGGAGGGAGCTTTGGCTTTTACATTTTGTTGGAGACACAGGCTGCAAAACCAATTACTGCAGACAGATTCTTTTAATGAGACGTGTCAGTAAGACGTGGCGCTGTATATGTAAGAAGGGAGTTCAGGTCCACCAGAGCTGCCTTTCGAAGCATGTACATAATCTCCATCTTTAGTAATAATCATTTACATGATGCTTTATGCGTTATAATATTGCCTAATCCCTCAGGGTTCATGCAATCATTTCAAAACCCATTGGGTTCTTTCAAAAACACATCGTCACCGACATTGTAACATGCAGTTTTGCTTAGTTCATGAAAAGAAGCATATGGATATTAAAGATAATAAGATATTAAGGGAAGATAACACTTTCCAATATTCAGTGTATTCCCTCAGGTTTGTGCTGCTTTTTTTTATACAATTATTCCAACATGTTTTTTTTTATTATTTTATTCATTGAAATCAATCTGACCTGAGTTCAGATTGAATTTTGAGTTAGTGAATACCTGTGTTATGTTAAACATCCTATTAAACAGTTTTCATAAGTTAACATTACAAATGATTCCACAAGAAGAGTCCACAAACAATATCTGGAGAAGTCACATGTGTGTTCCACCCCAATAATACAGGATGAGTAACTGGTCAATGACAGGAACCGCTCTGTGACTGTAAGCTCCAGATAACTCTGTGCAGCGGGTAAAAACTGCCTTTACACTTGAACAACCACAGCACACTCCCTTCCAAAGCATCGCTCCGACGCTCATGCTGTTGTGACTTTGCCTGACAGTAAAATAAAGTCTTCCTCATCAATTGACAAAACCCACATAACCCTATGGGACATGGCTTTAAAATACGGCGTCTGACATGCCTTATCAATCATTGTGAATATATCCTTTGTTCGGCAGCATAAAAGGCCCTCCTAGTTGTCGGAGCACTTTTCATCCTTGAACCCATGCCTCAGCTAAGCTATAAATATCTGGCATCTAAAAGTCCTCTCAGACCCACCTCATTAGAATAGAAATAATGGCCACAGCACTTGGTTCTATAACCAGTGTATCTACTCAAGGAAATGCAGTTAAAGCATTTTTGGATTTCAATTTGTCAAAAAAAGTTAGCTAAATAAAAAAATAAAACTTGCATAATTAGCTTTCAAGATATGACTCAGTCGGTAACTGGGCCACGAGTGCTTTTTCTTTCACTCTTCCTTCTCCTCCGCCTTTGAGGCCGAATGCATGATGAGCTTTGCCAAAAGTGAAATATAGCACAGGGCATTTATGCAGAAACCCCTATAAATAACAGCAAAGTAAAGGTGCCCTCTTAAAACGAGAAGGAACGGTAGTAATTGTCAAGCACCCATCCTGGTGATTTCCATGTGACCGGCCCAGCTAAAGCCCAGTATCATTCATTAATGCCCCGGCTCCTCATTACTGCCTCCTCACTCTTTTGAAAGACTCATTACCTGCATAATGGAAGAGTGCTTAGAACAGTCAGACCTTTCCTTAGTGTGAATTAATCACCTACATGCACGGACAAAAAGGGAATTCTCACATTAAATATTAAGAAACTTCTCACTCTGGCTTTTTACTTTTTCAAAACTTCTAAAAGGTGTACTTCATTGCAAATTCAAGTGCACGGTCAGGGAGACTGCACTGGTGTCATTGAAGACCCAATGTCTTGTCTTGTCTCTGCAAGGGCAGGGGGCGGAGGGGGGGTGGGAGGGGGACGGGGAAGCAAGGAAGAAGAAAGAAACATACTTACAGTTGACTGTGACTTTTACTGTTTTGGTGTCAGGAGAGGCGATGTCATTTAAAGCGCTGCATTCGTAGTCTCCGGCCTGGTCCCTTGTGATGCCGGTAACGTTAAGATATTCGCCACTGTCGTACTTCCGGGCTGCAAATAGTACAAACGGAGGCAAATTACTGAATTAGAATATAGAAATACTGCACACACTCCGTCCGTCACACACGCACACTCATACAGCTGCGAGCTGTCTCTAACCTCTGGGCAGTGTGCGTAAAGCCTTCATTTGGAATAAATAGCTTCCGAGCTTAAGCCAGAGCAGAAGATGCAATGAGATTAGGTATTGTACAATAGCACAGGATGAGCAGTGCATTGATCCATACATATTGTTATGGTGGCAGGAAATGAAACAAAATTGGTGTATTCCCTGTCATCTACTCAATATTTGCTCCACACAATGAAGTTAGAGCTACTTCCTTGCAGACAGACAGACTGGATGGCTCAATGCACATGTCGGTGCCTTATAGTTAGCCAGCAGTGCCAAAGGCAGGAGCCGAAAAGCACCACCAACAGAATATCGGCTGCAGGGGGGGGCCAGTCCACACAATCACGTCTGCTCCGATCGAAAGAAACAGTATAAAATAGTGTGAACACAATATAATTGAAAAGAATGCACTAAAGTGATAAAGTGTGGTTTTAGGAGAGGATAATCAGGCCAAAACATACAAGGGAAGTCATTTCAAGTAAAGTCTTTGCAATGAAAGAGAATAATCTACCCCCACCACTGACAGATGGATAAATGGGGAGACAGACAGATAGAGAGACACATATAGAGAGACGGATGGATGCGAAGTTAAAGAATACTAATGAAAGAAAACCAATATGACTTGATGTGTTTTTATAATAAATGGTCTCAGTGGGAAGAACTGTGAATGTGTTTCCAACACTAAGTGATACTCATTGTGAAAATCTATTCATATCCAACCTTTCAAGGGGGTGGTAATGGTGGTTCTTTTGCATGAAATATGTGTGCAGGCACGGGAATCAAAGTGAACGCACAACCGAGCTAAACCGAGCTCAACATACTGCTGAATCAGCAATATCTCACAAAGGACTAGCTGAAATCAAGACAATCCGTGCTTTAGGAGTGGAACTGCTTCCATTCTGTGCAGCCACCCTCCCCTGAAAGTGAGCGGAATTCTTATATATTCCCACTTTCCCTTTGTGCGGCCGCGGAAGCTGTTTATCTGCTCGCTAGTATGTCATAAAACTTGAAACCGAAGGCGTTGTTGATAATGAGCTTTACTGTCTCTTGTCACACAACAATTGAGTCCAAGAGTCTTGGCAAAGATATTGGTGGCTTCACAAACAACAGCAAAAAGAGGAGGAAGAAGAAAAAAAAAAAACGTTGATCCATAAACAAGCACCGGATGTCTGTGGAAAACAGAACCGGTGATATGCCAAGAGCACAGGGATGGAAACATAACAGAAAGGGCTCTATTTCTGTGCCGGTGCACAGCTCATAGCTTGGCTTTTCACCAGTGAAGAAATGTTCATGGGGATTTTGGAAAACTTTATTTTTTCAGGGGAGGGGGGGTTGAGCATTACAGAATGTCAGAATAGTAATCAAAGTGTGGAGCGCAGACTTGGTGTAAAAAAAGACGGATTGGAGGGATTATACAAACATGGTTAACATGGTGCAACTCCCCGTCAGCCTCCAGCTTGCATCTTTACCTCTGATATGTGTGCCGAAATAGCCATACCTGTACTTTTTCTGCATGCTATGCTGGGGAATTGGACTTTGGTAAATAGCGTGCAGAATATAGATATGAGATAGTATGTTGCCGTCTGGGATCTCTGCAGTAGAACGGCGATCGCGATCCACCATCACGTGTTTAACTTCCCTGTACCGAATGGGGTCTTTTTTTTTTCAGCACTGAATCTAATCAAAAATAAATGAACACACCAGAGTTAAAATCAACTTAAACGGTTTGGCTGTTGCGGGAGTTGTTCGTCCCGTAGCTTCAGTGCAAGTCAGCGCCTGCGCGGTGGCTCTGCACATGCATTTGGCCTCGACAATAATACCTAGAATTGAAAGCTGTGATTTATTCAGAAGGACTGGATATTATCTGTTTCACAGAATAAGTAGGTCTCCTGCTAAGCTAGGCTACAGCCTCAGCCGGCACCTCTGTGCTCAATGCAATACATCACAGCCTCATAAACAATCTGCAAAACGATTGTTTGTGATTAAGACTGGACGGAAAAGCGGTTGCTTATTTTACCGAGTAGCCGTCTTTCCCACAACAATGCAGCTTAATAATACTGTTAAAACACAACATTATCTAATTTTCATTTGTTCATGAGAGGAACATCTTGTTTTGGTTGATTTGCATTCTGTGATTACATATTTGTTTGATTTGAACAAACACCGCATTGTTATCAAAATCAAATACAACTTAAGAGCTTTTATTGCTGATTTATTGATTAACTGTTGATTAGACCTGCATTATGACACACTGTGATAAAACGCTGTGACAATGGCACAGAGCGAGTGCGATCGGTTTGCTCTCCTTATGGTAGAGATGCGTAATACAATTGTTGGTGAGATTTAAATTAGCCTCATATGTATATCTCTACATTAGATAGTATCAACACACATTATGATGGAGGCAGAGTTGGAGTAAAGCACAGGTTGCATCATCACTCGGGGGCAAATTAAGCATCACTTAGTCCTGACTGAGACTAACCACACACTAGTCTAAATGACAAAGCAAACTATTACATAGTCATTTTAATGAATGTTTAAATATAGGAAACACTGCTTTTATGACTACGCGTGAACCAATGGTGGTTCCAACTTCCCGTCTCGCTTGTTCACTGCAGAAATAATCCCAGAGCCCACGCGGCACGGCTATGCTTTTATACTGTGAGGCACTTTGTGACGCCAACGCTCGCTAACTACCCTTTATTTGTCTAAAAGACGTTATGTCTCAGAGCCGTGTGTATACTCCCCACGTCCTCACAACAAGTAGTTAACATGGTTGACCTACATGCTTCCTTTAGAGCACAGCTGCAGTGTTTTTGACTGTAATGGGGAATTATGGCAGGCGGGATCTGAAAAATCCACCGTGCGCACTAGTGTCTTTTACTGGGGCAATGAAATGAAAAGCAGTGACCCACGAGGTTCAGTGTGCCAGACGCGTCCAGTGGCACTTATGGCTAAATCAAAGGCAGAGGATTCCGCAGGGGAGCACAAAAAACCTTTTTCTTGTCACTGCGTGTGGGAAACAATTAATCCCTATTTTGCAATAGAGGTCTGCTGGTGGGAGGCAGTAGAAAGGCACATCAGAGCAATCGGCGTACAAAAAGAGAAATACATGTTGAATAGAAAGAAAAAGAAACGGAAGTTGTGTTTCTGTGAGATGGTGAAGTGAGGCGCTGTATCATGAACAGGGTGAGAACACAGACGGGCTTTTCCCCCTTCAGTCTCAGTCCAAATATTTCCTTTGGCAACAGGAGCTTGGATTTGATTGACAACGATTTTGAAAAGGCAACAATATCATTTCTTCGGCTCTACTCTGCACTCTGTTTGGCCTGAAACGGAGGAGTCACTCCACCTGCTCAGAAGAAAAGTAATTGAAGGAAGGCATGTTCAAAACCCCAACTCCTCTCATGTTTGATAGGGGTTATGCCATTTTGGATTTCTAGCATTTGAATGTGGTGTAAAGTCTACACTGCCATTCTTAACAATGGTGTCCTCCAACCCAGGATGTAGGATTTTTATGATTCTTGCTTTTCAGTTCATCGAATAAGGCTACACATAAGGCAATGTTTCTATTGTAAGGAAGCGTATGTGTTTGATATAAAACCCATCAATAGACACACAATCTGTTCAACGATAGCCCAACAACCAAAGGCCTTTCATAAAAATGTCATCCCTGCACGACACTGTAAATCAAAGAGTTCTCCAACAATTGTAGCTTTCATAAATAAAAGAAACAGTAAAACAGCATATAGTGCTGACTATTTGGTGCCTCCACCTACCTCACATGTAATTGAAAACCCAGCATTGGATTGAACATGAATACTTCTGAAACAGGTGGATGGATAAACCAAAGACTTGGGCAAGTGTCTATCAAGTTCAAACAGCAGGACAATTTAACACGTTCCCTCAAAGGTGGAATCAACCAGTTTGAACAAATGGGAAGAAGAATTGTCTGACTGCATCTTTAATGGTATTTCAGAAATATACAAATGTTACAATTAAGAGCTGCAACAACGAATCGATAAAATCGATTAAAATCGATTATTAAAAGCGTTGGCAACAAATTTCATTATCGATTCGTTGTGTCGCGCGATTATTACGTCACTCAATGAGTTTCGGAGATGTGCGCGGAGTAAAAATAAAAATAAAGACGAGCCGACGTAGAGGAAAGAGCAGCCGGCAGTTGTTGGTGAGTCACATGACGCAGGTAGAGACGTCTGTCGTCTTGACAGAGACTAGTCGTCTAAGGTGTGCAAGCGTGGGGGGTCCCGGTCCACGTTGTCCCGTTTTGACGTGAGGGACGTAACAAGCCTCCTGTTTACTCGTCATCCAGCTGATCAAGCTAGCGTTAGCTCGCTAACAACAGCAGTAAAGCAGTTAGCAAGACTAAGACACGTTTTTATTTACTCGCCTCTTTTGGACCATTAATTTTTCAATGTGTTGTCTGATATTTTGTGCTTTGTCCCATATCGGTTATTGTTGACAAATATATTTGTGTGTGTTGTACCTTTTAATGCTGTCATATATGGTAGTCCAGTGCGCTTGCGCATATACTGTGGGTTATACGGTAGTTGATGTTATGCCTGTAAAGGGAGACACATGGTGATCCATTAAATCAACTAAGAAGCCTCTAATGCATTTATTTACAAATGCCGTTTTAAATTCATCTCATAGCACTTGGTTGTTTTTTTAGCTGATGCACTTAACTTGCACTACAATGACGGTAATAATTTAATGAATATGCTTCAAGTGAACATGAGGGTGTGTTTGTGAGTGTAGTATAGAAAACTAGTTCTGACGAATTTGAGGTTCTGTTTTGGAATAAATGTTTTTTCTTAAATCCGCTTCATCGATTAATCGAAGAAATAATCGAACGATAATCGAT